AAGAACTTGCTTTGTCAGTGAGCAGAGAGGACTTTTTGCCCGGGTCATTGACAGAGCACCCAACCCCCTCCAGACACAGAGCCTGGCATAACGTAACCAAAGAGCCCACTCTGCAAGCATGACCTTCCTATCGAGGTACAGCAGTATCAGAAGAGGAACGTGGAGAGCTGCTGACGCAGAACGTCAGTACACACGGATGCTGAGATTTTAATTGAGAACACCACAGATTTCTGTGCATAATGTCTTGTTTTTACCCTGTATATGGAGCTGCCTGGTAAAATGGGAAGGAAGGAAAGTGGAAGCACCTTGGACCTAATTCTGATCTCTTGATGTGGTGCAAGCTGAGTATAACCAGGAATATAATTCAGTTGTGCTGGCCCCAAAGGCTTTCTGTTGCTTACCCAGACTGATTTGCGCCTCTAAAATCATGATGCTCATCTGCGATTAAGAAATCCCTTCCTGAGCCAATCTTTCACATGGAGATCCTCCAGTAGTGCTTGCTTAACCTTCTTGGACTGTCTAAGGAGACACAGGCTGTGAACTTTCTCTGACTAGCCAGGCCTATGGAAGAAGTATGCTGTTAGGGGTATGGAAATATTCCTGGGCAGCAAGGTCTGAGCAGCTAATGTTAGGGGGGACTCCACCTCCACACCGCAGGAAGAGGAGGGAACAGGGACCCTACCAGGAAACATATCAGACCACATGGGATATCCCTGAGATGCAAACCAGATGAGGGAGAGAGGAAAGAAGCAAAGGCAGGATAGATCTCTGTTCTTTAAAGATCAAGACTGGGGGTTTGGGTACCATTCTGGCTCTTTCAACCCCGACGTGCAAGGAAGGAGCAAAGGTGGGCTGTGAATCGTGCTGGCTGGCCCTTCTTCTCAGGGGCCCTTCTGTGGAAGCTGTGCCAGCTGGAGTAGGGGGCTGCCCCTTGCAACACTTGGGTGCAGAAACAGCCTCTTGCTGCAACACTGAGCTCTAGGCAAGGACACCTGTGGAAAGTCAGATACCGAGGTGTTTCCCTCTGCTCTTGAGAGACAACTGCTGGCTCCTAAGGCTGGCTGCAAAAGGCAGAAGTATTCACAGAATGCTAAATAGCAGGGAGGGAATAATACAACTTTTCCCTTGGCCCTGCAGCAAGCTGCTCTGGCAACTGCAGCTTCCTTTGGGGGGCCCGGCCCCTCCCTAGCTGCTGGAGGGCGACAAAATGGGACTTTGTTTCAGACTGACAGTGATGCAGTGGCAAATCCCCAAGCAAGTAGAATTTGTTCAAGTCCATAGGCACTTATTCATTATAAGGAGACTGTTAAGAGTTAAAGCCTTCCCTTGGCAGAGCGCCACCACAGCAGAGCTTCTAGGCTGCTCGCATCACAAATTGGATGAATGGCACGTTGTATGTATGGTATGTTGGCTGATGGTGGCTCTTTGCACAGGAAAGGGCTTCATCCTCAAATACGTCGCAAGGAGGAGAGTAGGCTCGCCTGATCCCCATGCACAAAGGGTGGAAGAGAAAGAATTCTGATGGCAGAACAAAACTGGAACTGCTGGGACAGGCCTTCTCATTATGTCCCGTTTCCATTATGGTTGTGATTGTAGCAACGTTAAGTTCACAGTTGAAAGCCGGCTGGCAGCTGTCAGGATTGCAGAAGAGTATCAGTACAAACAAGGGGTATTTAGTGTTGAGACAAGGAGTTTTCTTTCATGTTGGCTAGACTAGATCATCACCTCAGGTCTCAACCTGTTCTCCTCCTCTCCCCTTTCCACCACATGAAACCCCTGACCGTAGATCTTTGCAGCACACCCGTCTCACCCCTAGCTCCAGTTTTCCTTCTTGAAAGCAAGTTGCACAGCGTCGTTCACATCCTGCACTACGTATGATGCCTCCACCAGTCTGGGGTCAAAGCAGAAGTCCCGATGCCCGTGGAACACAGACTCCGTCATGCACTCCTCCGGGTTATTGGGAACATCTGCGTTGTGGCGGTAGACCCCAGTGCAGACCAGAATTGACTCGCAGCTCTCCATTGAAACGTTGCAGTCTTTCCTTTGCTCGAGCTGGTCCTCAGTTTGGGGGCTAGCTGCCAGTGGGCTCCTCTTCACCCCAGCCTGGGTCTTGTTCTGGTGAGCTGACTTGAGGTAGCTGTTGTAGAGGTTTGCCCCATAGACATCAGACATGGGATTATCCCTGGATAAGGCCACAGTATGAAAAAGAAATGAGAAACTAACCCATACATCAAGTTCTGGCCCTGGCAGACTGAGAAAGCAGCCTAAGGCTGCACTGAGAAAGGAAGGAGCACAAGGCACTGGCATTCACCAAAAGTATCCGCCAGATTGGGCCAGTGAGTCCACCTACTCACGTAGGTGGACATGTGGGACACAATGATGTGTCCTTTTCAGCTGTGGGGAAGGCCATCTGCTTCACAAATACCTTTGCTCAAGGGAAAAAGACACACCCAAAGTACTCATAGCGGGTTCTGCCATTACTGTAATGTAACCCCTATCACCCCAGGGTGTTTGGCCAAATGGCCTAACGGTACTACATCTGGATCGTCTATCTTTTTCTTTAATCCAGTCATGTTACTTGCATTCGGCATCCTGCAGTAAGAGCGCTCCTTGGCTGACAGTGCCCTTCAAATTATTAGAAGTGTAGGGTGCAAAAATCTAGCAACCCTTTGATCGACAGGAGATGCCAGCAACGACTTGGGGATTTTGGTGCTCATTTTAGAAATCCCCATGAAAAAAAAATTACTTAAAAGAAACCAGGATGTAACTGCCTAAGGAAGCAAGCAGGAAAAAGGGTCTCTTACCCAATTGCATAGAGGCGTCGGATGGGAGACTTCCACCCTTGTTTCTCAGCCTGCTGTTTTATCAGGTATTCAGCATAGCGATAGGTGACTGTGCTGGGTTTGCCAATCAAGGCCTCGTACTTCAACTCATGGCCTGTCACCTTCTTGTAGATGTTCTCCAAGCAGAGAAGGAAAGTGCCATGGCCAAACCTGCTTCGGAAAGGAGATCGTTGGTGCCCCCAGTCATGCTACTTGCGTGGCAAACCTCCCGCTGTGGGGAGGGCCATCCGCTGTAACCAGGATACCACCTTGTTTGGACACAGTATCTACCCACACACGCCTACACAGGCAGTGATTTGGCTTTTGTTTCTTGAGAGTTTTAGTCTTTGTTTCTCATGCAGTTTCAATGTCTCTACTGCTAATAATGCCATACAGTCAGACTCTAACGCTAAAGAAATGTGCTGTGTAAGAAAAGAGCTGCAGAAGAGCTGTATGAACTAGGCTAAAATAAATACCAGAAATGCTTTTCACCTGGGCATCTTGGCTTCAGCCATCCACAGAAGATCCATGTTGCAGGCGAGAACAGGCAGATGAGGGTATGGTATATCTTCCAGCTCTGCCCCAGGGTTCCCATTGCTCAAGAGTACATCAATGATAAGTTGCAGACTTGTCTCCCACCTGACCGGCTCCCCAAACAGAATCACCCCTGAAACATTTCAAGAGATGCTTGGAAACTCACAGCACACGAGTACAGGACCTACTAGCAAAAGCATAATGTCTGTCATACTGCATGTTTTCCAGAAGAAATAAACCAGCCATCCAGAAGGAATAAAAGAACCATCCACCCTTCAGTTTGTTCCCTCCGTTGGGATGCCCTAGCTAATACTGCTACAACCGGAGCACAGCTCGTACCAGGGCTCCAGTTTGCATAGCACTGTGCTGCGTTCACCACTGCTTCCAAGTGTTGGAGTCTGGTACAGAAAGAAGTTGGCTTCACTCTTATCACTTGTGCTTCATGCTGTGCAAGTGCAGCTAGTCTGCCTCCAGACTTATCCTCTCAATAAGCTGCCTGTGGATACTGATAGGCTGACAGCACTTCATTAGCTCCCATCCCAGCTGGCTGGCCTGACTGTTATTTCTGCTTGCTGTTCACATGTAAACAAAGGCTACTTACCTTCTATAGTGGGGAAGTCAGTGGTTGGAGGAGGCTGCCAGAAAAAAAATAGAAGGCTAGGTTTGTAATGCAAAAGCTAATGTCCTCTTCAAAACAGAAATAAAAAATGCTTCCTCTGAAACTGCCAGGGCTGACCCATAAGGAGGCAGGAAAAAGCCCCTGTCAGGCCACTTTGAATTCCAAAAAAGATTTTTTCACCCTCCCCTTCCCCCCCTAGATTGTATTTCACAGATCTTGCATTCCTGGCTCTCAGACCTGGAGAGGTCAGTCAAACTATCTTGCCAGTGACTGCAAGGAATAGCAATGAAACACAGCCGTGGCGCTTCCAGCAGGAGCCAACGCTGGAAAGCGCAGAGAGATGCTGGCTGCTCAGGACCTATCCCAGGCTCTCGCTAGGGAAGGTCACCAGCAGCCAGCTGGTCTGTGCCTTTGCAGCTTCTCCTCCCCATGCTATAAGCTGTAACACAGAGCACCCACTCTACTGATGTATGAGGAAATTACCAGCTCCTTTGGCCTCCGGCTTTGATCCACCATGTCCAATAGGGGAAACGCCTTCCTCAGTGCCTCTACGGTGACCACATGTTTGAACCCCAAGCTATTTCAGATCATCAGGGAAAGATATGGACACTTTGTTTTTTTAATAACTTGTAAAGACATCTACAGGGTTAAGAAATACAAGTCCTAGTAGCAGAGCTGTTACTTACACCTGGTAATTGGTTAACTTAATTGCTTTCAGTCAAATTGTATGTTGTGCATCAACCTAAAGGTGGCCCTAAAGGTTGTAAGAAAAGACTGGGGGGATTTACTTTGTGATTAGCAGCCCCTGGTGGTAGGTCAAGAGAAGAGATTGCTCCAGGGCAGAATGGATGTGCTCTGGGAGACCTTTAAGGCCAGCGTTCTTGTACTGGGGCACTGCAGGGGGCTGGCCAGGCTTCTGGACTGAAGCAGAATCAGTGAAGCTCTGGACCAGTTTAGCTGGGGATGAGAAAACGGTGCATGCTCATAAACTTGTGCAAGGGAAGGCTGAGTTGCTTTTGCTTGCAGGATACCTTGCCATTAGCTTCCTCTACTTGCTCTGGGGAAAGGTAGGAACAGGCCAAGATTTTGTACCAAACGCATTCAAGTGAAAGTGCAAGGTGTGGCTGTGGGGGGGGGGTTTTTTGTGTGTACATGCACATACACAAGGGGAGGGCCTACCGTTCTGACTGTTTCCTTGTTCATATTGCCCTCTGCCAGACCCATTAAGCTAATTCAAAGATGCTGCTGGAAAGACAGAACAGTGACCCAAGTCCACAGCTTCAGAGAAGCTAAGTGAACAGCAACAGGTTAGGATGAGGTCCTCTTTACAGAGCTAACCCTGGCATTAAAGGTGATATACCTTCAAAGCCCTAGAAAAGGGAATGGTACCATCAAAATGAGGGGAAGCTGTCCGTAACACTCCAGTGATGAAGCTGACAGGCTGAAATGGTGAGCAGACAGATAGGACAGGATGTCACAAACAGTGCAGGTGGTTCTTCCCTGCTTGCAGAAGTAGATCATACCAGACCTGCTATGCCCTCTGCCCAACAAGGGAATATGCCTGTGGGATTCTCTTTTAAACCACAGCCCTGTACCTTGGCACTCTGGCTTTATAGATATTTGAGCTGCTTAAAATGCTATTGCGTTTCTGGGAGAAGCCTTAATTGTGGAGGGTTGGGTGCAATCTGTAATTTAGTTTGCTATCAAAGACTGGGTAGGAGCATAATACTATCCCAAAAGAGAAGAAATTCAAAGCCAGGAAGAACAGCAGCACAGCTCACAGAAGAAGTAATCAATGCGACAAGTGAAACACAGACCAAGAAAGCCAGAAGGTGACTAAGACAGAGGTAAACAATAAGTGTCTGCATTTGAGCCTCTCCATAAGGGTCCCTCCCCATAAGACCAGTGGCTTTCCTGTTTCCTGGCCTTCCTGCAAGCTGACTGAGTGAATGCTCTGGGTACAGGCTGGACTGGAATAGCAGTGTTTAGCTGGGAGGCTACAGCGGGAAGAGCAGACAGCTGCGACGCAAATGCAGCAAAGGATACTTCCGGGCGTTCTCCTCCACAGGCCCCTGCCCTGCCACCAGAACGCACTTCTGGTGGAACTGACTGAAGAGCCGCAGGGGGCTGTGGGACAGGATCACCTGCTCCGGAGACACCTGCAGAAGGGAGGAAAGGTGCTTGGGTGAGAAACATGGAAGATCCAGCCCTTCTCCATGTAGTGCTCAGCAGTAAGGCTGCTTCCCTTTCCCCATGCTGCTGCCTTCCTCCGCCCACCCCTGTTGTCCTTGTCAATTAATAGGTCATGCCGAGGCAGAGCCAGTCATTTGGTGTGATCTGCCACGGGCCCAGCTCCAGCTGGTAGAGCCACACAGACACTCAGACTGCATCTGAACAGGATTATCTCCACTTCGCTCAGTGGTGCCCTTGCACAAGTCCTGAGGGGAGCAAGGGCAGACCAAGGCAGGGCCTCCTACCCCCGCGTGCTCCTGCTGGAGCCATCCAGCACTGTCTTTCTATAGCCCCTTTGTCGGGCCAAGCTGGCATAAAAATATAAATGTGTTTTTTTTACCTGGCTCAGAGGAACACATTTATATTCCCCACCCCTAGAGGACCCCAGCTCAGAAACCAGAAGCCAGCTTATTTTGACTAAAGTTTCAAATCTGTTTGTACTATGAAGGTCAAAGTTTCCCTGCCCTTCAGCCCTCCCCAGAAAGCTGTGCTGGGAAAGCTCCCTCCTCCTCTTGGTGCTCCTGTTCAAAGTACAGATATGTAAATTCAAATCTGGGTAGGGGCAACAGGCTGAGAAAAAGCAGTTTCTCAGGCACCTGGACTTATTTCACCCTAGCGTAAGAGCTTCCTCCTGCTCACGGTAAAGCCCGGCGTGGGCCCAGCCAGGCGGCCGCCCGGCTGCCAGATGGGGCTGGCTTCCTCGGCCGGCTCAACGCCCAGCCCTGCGCTGGGACGCGGCGCGAAACAGCAGGGCGGGC